CTCTGCTCAATCTTCAGATCTTAAACAGACTTTGTAAAAATAACTCAGTGGATTGCAGTAGCCTTTTCTGATCTGCATCTATGTAAGGCTTGGTCTACATTTACTGTAATGAAATTACAGTAGGAGCTTTAGAAGGCTTTACTGGTGTGAGCTTCTGTGGCTGCTTTTCCTGGAAAGTCTATCAGGATTCAGTATATCAGCTGCCACTGGAAATCATTCCAGCTGGAATTACACTGACGCAATTTTTGTGTCACCTATTTAAGTCATTACTTTTTTTGTTCCCTGCCCCCTTATGTCAGTCACTCGACACGGACAAGGGTGGTGGTGTTGCTGAAGTGGCAGGGAGCTTTATTAGGTTCTACGTGAAAACTGAGCTCCTTGCTCAGTGAGAAATATCACCAGGCATAAAACAATAAAGGTTATTTTGCCCCAAAATGGAGATTTAGGGATTTTGAAGAACACCTCCATGCTGGCTTATTTTCCACCAGAAATATTTATTACCAAATCAGAAATGTTTGCAGTTGATTTTTTTAAAAAACATAGATGTGAACTAATGAGGCTTATAAATCATTTCTAAAATATCATTCTATTGCAATCTTTGTATATACAACATAGGGTAAGAGGTGGTTTCACTAAATAGAGTGGATACCCCTTAGAGGATTTGATAACATGAAAATCAGTTTATTTTATAACTCATAAGGGGTGGTTGTTTTTAAAACCCAGCTCTAGCAGAGCTAGAAATATTGTGACAAGCAATTACCATCAGCGCTTGACATCTTTATTTCAAGTCAAGTTGTTGGGTTTTTTTTAATCCTTTTTCCATCTAAGAGAGTGATTTAACATGTACAAGTCCCTGAAAATGAGAAAGAAATGCAAGCAAGCTATTTTCCATGTCACTGTCATGTCTGTGGAGAGGAGAAGCACGAGCTGACTTCCTAGGGTTTTAGACAACAAAAACTCAGAGGAGGTCCCTGAATAAACCATATCTAATGACTGGAGCAATAGATGTCACATCCTTTCAAACTTTTAAACGTAATAGAAATAATCTAAAATAGCTTTTTGTAGTCCTATAGTAAGAGGGGGCTGGATAAGAGCTGACATAATGAGGGAAGCCACAAAACAAAACAAGGGAGGGGTGTATTCTCCATGTTTTTCAGGTAGAGACGTATTTCTTTATATAATCTGAACATAGGGTAATTCAGGTTGTAAGGGACTAAGATAAATTTGTCTGCCAAAATGCACGTTGATATGCTCTAAGGTTACTTTGGTGTGAATGACTAATTAATACCCAGAATTGGCTCCACAATTTGCGCTTTTCCAGATTAGCAGAGTTGAGGTCTCAGATTCCTTAGACTTGCTCTCAGGCACACAAGTGAGTTCTTAAGCATCTGAAATCAGCCTTATGTTCTGTCAGACTCACCCTTTTCTCTGAGAAGACATTCATACGCACAAGTCCAGTGACAAAAGGATAATGAAAGCCAATGATAATAACAGCTGCAGGGAGCTCTTTTCCTTCCACTTTCTCTTGGGAATTGCTCCCATGACCCCTTCTGTCCACACCAGTGAACTCCAGGTAGGCAGTAGCAGCAACATCTGATATAAAATGGATGTTGCAGTGGCTGGAAACTTTTAAAAATAGAAAAAATCTAAATCTAACCAGCTTTTAAATCTGATGGCATTGCATGATTTTGCTCTAAATTTTATCATGAGCTCTAGAGATTAGTTTTCATGATCTCTGCTAACGAGGTACTTTTAATGTCTGTAATTATGCGTCTTGCAACAACTTATTAAGAGACTGTTACACGTTCTTGATGGCATTTTCAGGTCACTGAATCCTTGGCTAATTAGGCAAACACACCGAGCAACCTGCAAATTTCTGAAAATTCATTTCCTCATTCAAATATATTTAGAAGCATTGGTATAAGAGATCCAAGAAAGTCACTTTTTGGCTAGAGAGGAGAGAAGATCACTATATCAATGGTACAGACAAGTAGCAGCAAAATTCTTCCTAAATAGCATCAGCAGCATTTGCAGCAAAAAAATGTTGGAATCTGAGTGTGTGGTAAAGGTGTGCAGGGTGATTCTGGGGCTTACCACTGGGCTCAAAGCCTGCCAGGTGGTGGTGGTGAGATGTTCTAGCTTGCTGGGTTCACAAAGCAGTGTGACTAAACCTTACCAACGCTGGGTTCTTCTTATTTCTGGCCTGCAATGCCTCTGAAGTCATTGTGAATATGTATTTAGAAGCCTGTTTAATCATGTAGTTCTGAGTAACTCCGAAAAAAAGCCCCCCTAACTGCTAAGATACAAGAAGTGAGAGTTACAGCTACAGATGACAGTGCATCTCAGTGGCTCGTATTCAGTAAAACTTAATTGAAATGCATCCAATTCTTACCTTTCCCAATCTCATTAACCTCTGACCTCAGCAGTGCAAATTTCTCTTTGTGCAGCCACAGGTGTGATGAGTTGCATCATTTTTGCCGAACACCTTTGGATTTTACAATCCATATACTCACAGTATGTAGCCTACATCATTTCTGAAGCTGGCCTAAAGTCACACTGACCTACTCCAGACCATGATTTGCTTTAGGTTGCTGAGTTTGGCTTGCAGAGCCCAGTCCTGGTTCCATTAAAGCCAGTAGGATTCTTTCCATTAGCTTTGGCAGGACTTGGCTGCGGTTCATCACAATTCCTCTGATACCCTCTTCTCTCTGAAATATTCTTAAAGAAAATTGTAATATAATCTGAAGAATAACAACATCAGGCCAGACTTTCAGTTCCTGTAAAGCAGAATGGATTTTTTTTTTTTCATTTCAGTAAAACTATGCTAATTTACATGAGCTTAATATCTTTACATACAGCCTAATATCTCTTTAATAAGCCACGAAGCTCTCTAAAATCATTTATATGATAACCAGAACAGTTTAAGCAATATTTCACTTTGGAGCTGAAGTTCTATGTAATGACAGCTTTTTTTTAACCTATCTTCTAAAGAATATTGTGGATATAATCTCTTGATATAGCCTTATTGCATAGCAAAACAATCCATAATTTCTTCCTCTGTGATAATGTTTTCTAGATGTTTGCCTCTCACAAGATTCTAGTGCTTCAGCTGAAACTCAGATTGTATAGAAAACAGCTTTAGTGGCAGCCCTGCCTCATACATAACACAGATAATGAAAGTTCACAGCAACCACAAACACGTGTTAGATTTGATTTAACAGGAAGGATTTTCTCTGTTTTAATTGGCTGTGGAGCAGTGGGAAAATTCATGAGTGTCATGAATTTGACATTGATAACCAATGAATAAAATGCATTATTATGCTATGCAGCCTTTTCTTTCTCAGAGCTCTCATGTAATGGAAAAACTGGATGATGTGGATTATAAAATCACAGACAAGAGTTCATTTTCAGCTGAAGTGGTTTTATGTATCCATATACATGACTTATATGCAAGAGAATTCATTTATGTCTCTGAATTTGGAGCAGCTTCAAAGTTCTTCTGAATTTGTGCTGGTGTAACTGAAACCAAAATATGGCTGTAGGATTAAAATGGTGAACTTGTGGCATAGCACAGCAGAAATAACAACTGTTTAGGATGCAGAAAAATCCAGTCTCTATAGCAGGCAAGCATTCAAGGAATTTCTTACTGTAATAATAGTATTTTTGAAAAAGAGGAGTAAGATAGAAGATGTACCTTTAAGCTGAGATTCAGGAAAGAACATACCAGCAGCAGGTTTTATTTGTGCAGCAAACCTTAAGGGAAATTGAACCAAATACACTTTTTACTAACTTTCTATTCCTAACTCTTAAGCAAAAGTCCAGATTTTAACTTCTTTTGGAAAGTGAAACCCTCTCTGATAACATGGGGAAGCTGAAATCCAGCAGCACTTCACTCAATTCCACTGCAGTATCAGATGCAGTGGGCTGAAGTTGTTTTGAAAATGCTTTTACTCCAAAAGTTTGGGGGGTGGGGGAGGCGGGTTATTTCTCCAAATATGTTTTATAAGCATTCAAAGAGGAGATAGCTGCTAAATAAAATTCTGTAAACTGTTGTCTGCAGGCTTTGTCAGCATTTGAACAGCACTTTTCAATTTAACATAAAAAACATTTGCTTCCTTCATGACTAAAGACATGACTCAAACCTCATACTGCTGTAGGCTGATCATACTGTTTTAAATTCAAAATGAGGGCTTGAAGTTAATGTTTTATTCATGTCAAAAGCATATTTTTGGGCTGAAGTAGGGCATTCATACGTTATGTTTTGAATAGTTACGTTTTTGCCTTATATTACGTATTTTTGTGAGATAATATAATAAATAATTGGAGATGATTGGTTTTATTTTTTTGCTTTGTCATTTTATGCTCCGTGTACTGATCTGGATTGTACTATGTTGCAAAAGGTTAATGGGTGGCATAAATCTCAGAACTGTAAATAGTATCAGCCCTCTAGTGAGCTGTGGGCATGCAGAACAACGCACACATCCATCACAGCCATAAATCCAAATGCCATTGCCAGAAATGCATTAAGGGCACGTTGTCCAAGGGGGGTGTTTTTACAAGGTAGATCCTTAATTTCTTGTACTGTGGCTGAATGATTCTTTGCATCTATCCTGTAAAGATAAGCCAGCTTCTAGACCTATAAAATGGTATCTTCACCAACACATCTGAGGAACACCCCTGTTCCATACCTGCTTTGTTTATGCTAAACGCATGAAGAACAGGATCACAGTGTTGTATGACTTGAAAAACATGTAGACATGTTTACATCAAACAGGAAAATATTTAAAGATACTATTTCACTTTCTTGCCATTTTTTCTTACTCATAGTTCTGAAATTTAAATGGCAAACGTTCTACTATTTCTTTTCCTATCCTTTTACTGTAAAGCAGACTACTAACCTAAGCCTATGGCTATAGAGAAAGTGGAGCTTTTTCCATAGGAAAAATTACTGAGTGGCTCGCCTTGAAGACTTCTGTTTTCCTTTCTTAATGTCATTTCAGATGCTGCACAACAAGCATGTGATGGTCCGTGTTGGAGGAGGATGGGAGACTTTTGCAGGTTACTTACTGAAGCACGACCCATGCCGAATGCTGCAGATCTCACGAGCGGATGGAAAAACCTCTCCAATCCAGAGCAAGTCTCCAACTCTCAGGGACATGAATCCAGACAACTATCTGGTTGTTTCTGCCCATTACAAAACCAAGAAGGAGATTAAGTGAAATAAGCTTCCCATGCGATTGGGACTCTACATACGTAGGTCCAAATTATTTTCACAAGTGTAGTAAATTTAGTTCATGCTTTAAAAGGACTTCAGAAAACTTAAGACAGACTGGAAATGGCAGCCCATTTTGAAGATCTCTGAATTGTAGAACTATTTATTTCTAGTACTGTATCTTTTATAGCAAAATACCCCTGCTAGGTTAATTACTACAGTCCTATAAGAAATAGACATATATTTTTAGCCAAATTATTATTCTTACATGAATGTATACACAGAGTTACATAAAGGAGTGGATCCTGTTAATGGAAGAAAATACGTAATACAAGATATTTGTATGAAAATATTATGACATTGAATCCTTGACTGTTAGGCTAGTTGAAAAATATATCTATGCAGGTGGAAAGAAGTATTGGTGGGAACTACTTGGTAATGCCTCTTGAAATGGGAATTGACTGTTTTTTATGGGTTGGAAGATTTTTTTTTTTTAACCAACAGAGTATAGACTCGTTGCATGCCAAACAACTTTCCAAAGTGATTACTTAAGAAAAAAAGCCCAAGAAGAAAGACCCACTACCCTTGTATTCTATAAAGCTAAAGACAATGCTTAGTGCTAGATGTGCATGTAGATCCTTCCTGTTCCTGACAAAGCTGCCCCATATAGAAAGAGGAGGAAGCCAAGAGTTTGCCCCTTCCTCTCCCAGACAATAGTGCTGGCTAGTACGAGCAGGATGCACAGCCAAGGAGGTTGGGGGCAGGTTCAAAAGATGAATCTGAGCTTTTCCTTCCCCTTATTTGTAATTCTGCTGGTCATGCCAAATATAAAATATTCATTACCCTGTCATTTGAATGATTCACATTCTTGTAAATCATTCACACACCTCTAAAATAGCTAAAGGCGTATTGGGGCTTAGTTCATAATTTTGGCTTCTCTTCTTTGTTTATATTTGGTAATTTATGTGCCTTATAACTTCCTACAAAAAATCATTTTATAGGATTATTTCAGTGACTTATAAATTTGAGCAGAACTTATTTCATTACAAATGAAATAAACATTTTAAAAATACACATTTTTGGTATTTGTAATCTGTACTCCTGTGCTTTGCTGCTACTGACTGGATGCCTACAGCATAGAACTTCTCAATAACCTCATAAGAAATGGAACAGAGAATGGTGCAAGATAGCACAGAAAATACCTGGATTTTATTGAAAAATAAATATTTTTTCTTTGCAGGAAAGAAAAGGATTAAGGTGTTCTGGAAGTCACTTTTTAAAGTGTCAGTTGATATTCTTCTGTATTTTTCTATATAAGTTGAACTGGAATGCATACAAATGCATACAATGTATACATATAAAGATGTGCTGCTGTGTTCTTTAAAGGCAAAATTTCTACTTAGATCAAGACAAGATCAAGACCTTTCATGCTAGATGCCTTACTGAAATCAGCATGTTTTACCATGCTTAGCAGAACCACCCACCTTATTGCCTACAAACACCTGCTGAACACAAACAGCACACAACTGCTAGCACACTAAGCAGCAGTATGGAACTCCAAGCATGTCTTTAGAAAGAACCTTTATAGCCTTTATTTTAAGCAATATTCTAGGAAAAGTAAATATAAACTCAGTCAGACTTTTGAAAGGCCATAGGAAGAGCACATTTTTGTAGAAGCAAGGTATTTAGCCTTCCTAGGCTAAATAGGAGTGGGAAACATAGGCTTTATGGGAATGGGAAAGCAAACTTAGTTAAAAAAAGAAAGCATGGAAGCACAGCTGAGAAAAAAAAAAAAGTTCTTAATATATGCAGAGAGATTTGTTTGCAAATTAAGAGAGAAGAAAAACTTGAGAAAGTTTTTAGATGCCTATTTTTGGAATGATGGTTACTTCCTCAAGTATAAATTGTCGTGTTTCCATCATCCAAGATTAAGTTTACATAACTATTTTTCTTTGAAATGTTTGAAGGTATTTACATGTTGATAAATTAAGAGCAGATGCTTGTAGTTATACACAAAAAAGTGTATTTAGATTTATTTCAATATTAAGCTTCAACAAATAATCCTGGTAAATCCAAACCAAGATTTTAAATAATAATTAAAAAGAAGAACTAATGTATCTCATTGGATTTTAACTATCAAAATAATCTTTTGTAATCTCAACCTTCTCAAACTCACATAAGAACAGTTCTTAACACCTGGACTTAATCAGTAAAAGAATGGGAGATCGTGGAGATCTTACAGGACTTTTTAAAGCATTGCCCATTACCACCTGACCTGACTGAGGTGGGGGCTTGCTGCATTAGATGCACCTGGGATGGATGTGGTGAGCAGAGGACCAGTGGAAGTGGGAGCAGCAGTAAAACCAACCAACCACTGCAGTAAATTAACCAGTTATGCAAACAGAGGTGGGAATATCTCATTTAGAATGTAAGTGTATATGGTGATTGAAATGGCTATTTCTTATTGTATTAGACCTTATGGTGTGGGAGCTGTAGAATTTATTGTGATGCAGTTTTCTCCGTGGAGTTAGGAGCCTGAAACTAAATTTACAAAGCCAAAACACTACCCAAATCTTGTAGCAAACAATGCCCTTCTTAGCTAAAAGTGATGGGGACAGAACTGTGTTCTTGTATGAAATGATTGCAGAGGAAAATGTGTTTCACTGGTTAGGTGTTGTAATATTGCAGTTTCTGTTTTCCAACTGTATGATATTAAGGTATCTAGTCCAGATTTTTAGGAGACTGAACCGAATAGCAGAGGATCAACAGGAAGGATCCGTGACTTCCATCTCATCCTCTAACTGAGGAATGGCCTGTTGAAACCATGAAATAGTTGCTTGGTAGAAGAGCCAGGTGATGTAATCAAATGAGAAGATGCAATCTTGACCTAGCAGCAGAAGATAACTGAGAGGAAGGGTGCTTCACAGTGATTTTTGGCTTACTTGATCTCTGTATAACTCAGTTGAAAGTGAATGCTGAGGATATTGAAAGCAACATACAACCAGGCTGCTATAAGCTGCAGCAGAGCCTCTTCTCAAGGGCTGAGCTGGGTCATAGAAAAGGCAATATGGGAGCACCTGTTAACTGTGAACAAACAGTGCTAAGGCTCAAGATGGTTAATCAGTGTAAATGGATTTTAAAAGCTGTTGTTGTACAATACCAAATAAGCATTGCAATTCCGGAAGCAATTCAGAAATACTCTGGAAATGCTCATTATAAAACCTGTCACTAGGTAGTACAGGAGGTACCTTATGTCACCTCGATGCTCATATGCTACCCACAGTTTTGTTTCCAAGCAGGATTATCCACATAATTGAATGGGGACAGAATTTTTCTTTTTCCTTATTTTAGCAACAATTGTACATTAGTTTGCATTACCACCTTGGTTTGTTGTTTTTGTTGTTGCTTTTTTTTTTTTTTAAATGACATTTCAGGAAGGGTGTATAAAATCCATGGTAACCAGCTCAAGGGCTGTTGGTGGAGATGAGCAAAATAGAGAGGTGTGAATATATGTGTGTGGGAAGCCAGAGCAGGCTTCTTATGATGCCTGACGCTGAATTCATTACATGTATTCATTTTAGATCAGGGAGATGTCTGTAGGTTTGTCACACCACAGTGTTACAGAAGCATCTCCCATAGATGGTTTGGTTCCTTTGGGGCTTGCATTTCCTACTGCCTTGCTGACTGCTGATGTACAGTACCTGACAGGGAAGGAAGAATGTGTTTTTTCACTGCTTTGCTTCTTAGAATCTATGATAAAGTTAAGCAGATATGTGAGATCCCAAAAACATGCATGGCGCTGGAAAGGTTCTTCTATCTTAGTCCTACTGCTGGCACTGCTTGTGCCTAATGAGTTGCATCCCAGAGATTCAGTCTGTGTTAAACCCACATGCTGAAGCCATCTGGTTTTAAGGGCTCGCAATGATGCTACCTACCTGTGGGGACACACAGCTTCTGTGTCCTTCCAAACCTCAGGAAGTCCTGCCCCAAACCTTCTCTGCCTGGCATCATGGGTACACTTTGACAATATGTGGTAGCAGATGGCTTCACTCTCTCTGACTGCACCAATTGTTCTATCGCTGGGAGTCAGCCCTTTCATTGCAATGTAGGAGTACTGCTCTTTGGCTGCCAGAAGTTTTTCTAGTGCCCTGCTTTCAGAAAGCAGACAAAAGAGGTAGTTATACTGCTGTAAAGCAAACAGTGTCAACTGCCTAGCTAATCTGAATAGATTTTAGCAGATTTATTCTCTCAGGTGAAGTAAGCAGTTAGAACTAGGGGAAACAAGGACAAAATTCCTACTATATTTAATATTTACTGAGTGAACCACAAGGTGATAAGAAAGAGGGAAGTACCTATTTCTAGAACTAGCTTTTACCTTTACTACTTAATGGTATTTTTCAGGTAACAATTACTTGTGCACTTCTGATCTGCAATGTTTTACTTTCATTCTGAACTGAAACTAATGTTACCAAAAAGTTTATGAAAACAATAAGAATTTCTGTTCACCCAAATTATTCCCCAGGCTGAGTTCAGATAGTGGTCACCCAAACAATTAAATATGGTGCAGAAGCCTGTTTAAAAACTGGTTTTTTTGAATGTAGAGGTTTGAAATAGCCCCTGTGACAAAGCTCAGTGCTAAGTGCCACCTAAATATCTCTGCAGGATGCCCACTCCTACAGATATTGGATTGAAATTCCCCTTTCAAACCTATGCTTAATATTTGATGACATTTTGATGTATTTTCATTATACTTAATTGGTTATAGTCATTTTATTATTATTATTTTTTAAATACAGTTATGTGAACAAGTGCCAACAATCAAAGGAAGCTAAAGGTATTCAGCTGCCAAGGACACAAGCTTTTAGCCCCAGTGCTACTGTAGTAATATTGAAAGATCTTTTCTGAACTTTATGACTAAGGCTAAGCCAGGAACTCACTGGGTCACAACCATATTCCTAAGACAGCGTGAGACACTATTTGGGGAAGTAAAATAAGTATTTAGTTCAGGAAAGGAAAAAAAAAAAGCCTTTTCAGCCTCAACTAGGTCAAAAATGGGGTCAGTGATGTACTGAGGCAGACGTGATGCTCTCCATGGAACGCAGGCACTAGGTTCTTCCTGTTGGTCATGCTGCAACAAGCTTTGCTCATCTATCAAAGCAGTGGCTTGAGGTGACTGGTGCAGAAGTCTGGCTCTACTGTAGGTTAGGCAGCTCCAAATAATCAAAGGCAGTTTCACATTAGAAAAAGGGATTACAGACATCACTAGATACAAAAGAAAAGCAACAGAGCTCCAAGCATTTGGCAAATGTGATTGCACTGTAACAAACCCACCCAAATAGCACAGAAATCTCAGCAAATGAACCATCCAAGAACAGGTCTTTAACTGTTTTTCAGAGTTCTCTGAAGTGCAGTACTGCCCTCTGTGTTCAAAATAAAACAATTCATCAACAGTATTTCAAATTTAGTGTTTACGTTCCAGTGTTCATTATAAATACATACTCTAAAGGAATTTACATACACAAGCAAGGAGAAAAACTGTCAGACTCACAATAAAACAGCTCCCTTGCTGTAAGCATAAAAAAAAGGTTTATAAAGGTATTTTATTTTTTTAGGTAGTGTCAGAAAAAAAAACAAAACTTCAGTTTCTAATGGCCAGTTATGGATCTGCTTTAGTTTTTTGGTTTTTTTTTTTAAAGAAAAAAAGGTGCTAAATCCCTAAGTAGTTCAAAAGTAATTAGGAAACAAAAGAGAGATACATATGAGGGGCACCTGAACTGTGCCTAAGTTGGACATACGCAGACATACATGTACCAATTGACCATGTAACACACACACACAGACTTACAAGTAAAGGTCACTTCTATGTGAGAAAACCCTTCTCGCTCCCTTGATAGGGAAGCAACACAGCACACAGAACAAAAATTAGCCAAAACCTAGTCGTTCAGAGGCTGGAGTTGTTCATTTTCTTAGTACACGTTTGCACATCTGCCCTCCTACGATGGCAAAGTACCGCTGAGTCTTTGTATGCAAACAGCAAAAAGCCACGTGATGAGTAAGTGCCACTCCGCTGCAGAAACTGGCAAGTTCTTGGCAGTAAAAATCAATCTCATCTCCAGAAGTCACACTTCTTTATCCAACCTGCCACTACACACAAAAACAACAAAAGTGAACCACAGGTTTGTATGAAAAGAAAGAAAAATACCTACACCACAAGGTTGCATAAGGACAATAAACTCCCCAGCTAATTAGGCTATATCCTGAAAGTGATGGACACAGTGCTCACTGATAGTAGACCTAAAACTCCATGCCCACAGTTTTATTAATGTGAATCCCCTCATGTATAGCAGTAAGGGGAAGAGATGAAAGCTTATGAAGCCTGAGTTTGAAGAACTGGTTACATCTACTGCCCCAAAGAGCTTCTAATTCTTTTAAATTTCCAGTTTGCCTTCAAAGTTCACTTCACAGAATTTGTAGTAACAGCAGCAGTAGAATTCATCAGGACACATGCCAATGTGGTATGTTTGGGTTTTCGGTAGAAAAACAAAACTCTTTGCCATCCATGCTGTCAGCGTGCCCCAGAAATGAAATCTTGAGCATACAGTGTGATAATGGCACATGCTTCCAGTTCTCTGGGTTTTTCATTTTCATCTTGTGGGAAACAACAAAAATAGGATATTCCTCAGATAAATGGATTACACTGTTTCATTTTTAAACTTACTCTCAGGCCTCCTTCTCCTCCAGTACCTGATGCTGCCATTCTTTTTTCTATTTCTTCCTGCTTCTTTTTCTTTTGCTCTACAGAATAAGTATTCTTAATACCTCGAGAGGAAGCCTGTGAGAAAACACATTTGCAGAAAGACAATTAGTTATCTGTCTGTACAAAAGCCAAACTGAAAGTCTTGGCAACAGCATTTTGTGAACTCTGGTTTGCATGAATTGACTGGAACA